TTGTTATGGTCTTTTATGTCTTCTAACAACCTGAACTACAGAATTGGTATTTCCCTTTGTAAAAACTTTCTTAATGTTTTCCAGAGGTTAAAAATGATGGGTTCTTCATGACAAGGCAAGGCATGGTATCTCGGTCCATTCGCCAGCACCCATTTTGCAGTGTAGAATGTGATAGGGAAGCTGGGGCCTCCTACAGGGCCTTTAATGGCAGGGCGGGGATCATAGCACTTTCATACAGGGGGCGCCTTGGGTCTCTCTGACACCAGGAACCTCTGACAAGCAGGTCTATACATGAGCTATTGTGGCAATTTCTTTGAAGGTTACCCAAAGTTGTCTAGCTTAGGCAAACAACAAACATTCAAAGCCAACTAGAATTTAACATCTGCAAAGGGGTTATTGAGACATAATTTTTCTCTCTATAATCACCCTTATTTCCAGAAATAGCCAAATTAAGAGTAATTTGTAAAACAAGTCCAATTTTCAACAAACTTGGCCTTAATTTTTCCTTTTGCCTTTGTTTCCTGTGTCAGTATCACTTAGACCAAGTCATCAAACTGGGCTTTAACATCTAACCTAACTGCAGTGTCAACCTTCCCCAGAAACTGGGGTTTTACATCTAACCTAACTGCATCAGTCAGGAATTTTCTGGTCTCTCTCCATCCCCAAAGGCAAATGAGGTAATCTGCAAGATAAGACACCCTGCCCTTTCCCCTAAGTGATGGTGACCTTGCTTGGAATCCTTTCTTTTCTTTTGCTATTAACTCCCTGCCCTCCCTCCTTCTTATAAAAACTTTCCATTTTGTACAATTCTTGGGAACACCTCTCTACTTGCCAGATGGGATGCTGCAGGATTCACAAATCATTTTGTTGTTGTTGTTTGAGAGAGAGAGAGAGAGAGAGAGAGAGAGAGAGAGAGAGAATTCGAGCAAGGAGGAAGAGAGGAAGACGGACAAGCAGACTCCACACTGAGCATGGAGCCTGACGCCGGGCTTGATTCCACAACGCTGAGATCATGACCTCAGCTGAAATCAAGAGTTGGATGTTTAACCGACTAAGCCACCCAGGTACCCCTCACAAATTGTTTAATAAAGCCAATTAGATCTTCAAATCTGCTTGGCTGAATTTTGGTTTTTGGCAGGGCTCACTCCAATATCTAGAAATCCTAACTGTCCTCTTGACTCAAAAACAGTCCATGGTTTGTCCCAACTATTAACTTTTGTTTTTTATTTGCTTCCATAAAAATGCTTATTAAAAAGGTGACTACTCACGCCGTGTAGAGCACACCCCCACAATACTACCTCTTGAAATGACACAAAACTATTTAGCTGAGCTGACGTATTCTCAGGACTAACAGACTGGTGCAGACATGAAACTTCTTGGGGAAGCTTCAAAGGCAGGAATGAAGGATCACGTAGTGTGCCAACCCAAAATATGGCTCTTTGGCATCAAGATTATCGTGAGGAAAAACAGACACGGGAACTTCTGAAAACATCTATTGTGTTTTCACAATAGATGGGAAAATTTACATTTTCCACACATTTTTGTGTGGGAAATTTACATTTCTAAATGAAATCTCCACTTGTAAGGGTATCTCCTCCTCTGTACTAGACAGAAAGGAGGACTCTAAATTGAAGAAACTCTTCTCAATGAAGAAAGCAGCCTGCCTAACAAACCTTACCATGTTAATTGCACTTTTCCTGGTAATCTGCCTGCAGCTGGCCCCCTTCCCTCCAGCTTTTTGGCCTTTACCTACAGATGGTATTTAAATTGGTGGCTAAGGCCTCTTGGGGAGTTACTTTTCCTGGGTATCTTCACATACACCTGAGGTATACCGGTTCAACTTCATTTTTACAATGTTTTGATGTTTTGTTTTTCTTTTAAGAAAGCAATGGGCAGGAAAGAGGATGGTTCACTATTCCTCCCAATTTCTAACCGGAGATTTTGGGACTAAAAAGTCCTCTTTGGGGGATGAAAAGAACAGAATAGAAACTACGTTCAATAATTTTGTGATAACAATGTGTGGTAACAGAAGGCAGCTACCCTTAAATCGTGGTGAGCACTGAGTAACACACAGAATTGTTGAATCACTATGTGGTATACCTGAAACTAATGTAACATTGTTATGTCAGTTTTAAAAAAGTTCTTTTAGGGGCATTTGGGTGGCTCAGTGATTGAGTGGCTGCCTCTGGCTCAGGACATGATCCTGGGGTCCTGGGATGGAGTCCTTCATCAGGATCCCCGCAGGGAGCCTGCTTCTCTCTCTGCCTGTATCTCTGCCTCTCACAAATAAATAAAATCTTAAAAAAAAAAGTTCTTTTTTTAAAAAAATTAACGTGCCTTTATTTTTTACATAGCACTCATCACCGTCTGACATACTTTATGTTTAATGGTTTGCCTCTCGCCTCTATGGTGTCAGCTCCACGAGGACAGAGATTTTAGGTAAAGAAAACAAGTCAAAGCACAGAGCACCTTAAACAGGTCCCCTGGTTTGTTTCCTCTCTCCCTTCTTTCTTTTCTCTCTTCTTCCCACAAGTATTTACATGGCACATAACTAAGTACCAGGTACTGTCCTAGGTACTGGAGACCCATAGAGAATAAAACACAAAAATCTCTGCCCTTGGGGTGCCTGGGTGGCTGAGTGGGTTAAGCCATCTCAAGGTCTTGGGATCATGAGATGGAGCCCCGTGTTGGGCTCTGAGCTCAGTGCAGAGTCTGCTTGGGACTCCCTCTACATGCGTGTGTCCTCTCAAATAAACAATTTAATTAAAAAAAAAAAATCTGCCCTTATGGAGCTCATAACCTGATGTGAGAGACAAAAACACAGTTTGTCCAATGGTGATAAGTGCTATAGAAAAAACAAATGCATCTGAAAAAATGCTTATTAAGGGAAAGAAATTAATCTGAAAAGGCCAAATACTATATGAATCCAACTATGTGGCATTCTGGAAAAGGCAAAACCACGGACACACTGAAAAGATCAGCGGTTGCCAACAGTTCAGGGGGAAAGTGTTGAGAATGATGGAAACATTCAGTTTGATACTTTAATGATAGCTATCAGTCACCACACATTTGTCAAAACCCATAGCACAATGCAAAGAGTGAACCCCAATGTAACCTACAGACCTTTGTAACCTATGGTTAAGAATGTTATCAACAGGGATCCCTGGGTGGCGCAGCGGTTTGGCGCCTGCCTTTGGCCCAGGACGCGATCCTGGAGACCCGGGATCGAATCCCACGTCGGGCTCCCGGTGCATGGAGCCTGCTTCTCCCTCTGCCTGTGTCTCTGCCTCTCTCTCTCTCTCTCTCTCTCTGTGACTATCATAAATAAATAAAAATTAAAAAAAAAAAAAAAGAATGTTATCAACAGGGACATCTGGGTGGCTCAGCGGTTGAGCATCTGCCTTTGGCTCAGGGCTTGATCCTGGTCCAGGGATCGAGTCCTGCATCAGGCTCCCTGCAGGGAGCCTGCTTCTCCCTGTGTCTCTCTGCCTCTCTCATGAATAAATAAATAAAATCTTAAAAAAAAAAAAAATGGGGATCCCTGGGTGGCGCAGCGGTTTAGCGCCTGTCTTTGGCCCAGGGCGCGATCCTGGAGACCCGGGATCGAATCCCATGTCGGGCTCCCAGTGCATGGAGCCTGCTTCTCCCTCTGCCTATGTCTCTGCCTCTCTCTCTCTCTGTGTGTGTGACTATCATAAATGAATAAAAATTAAAAAAAAAAATGTTATCAACAGTAGCTCATCAATTATCAATTACACTATCACAAAATGTTAATGATGTGGGAAATAAAGGCAGAAGGAATGAAGATAAAATTAAATCACCTTAAACCTACAGCCAATTGAACAATACTTGAGGTAGGCACATTATGACATTCCTCCTTATAAAAGTCCTTTTGAATCTTCCCTTATCTTTACCTTCCCCAACCCCAAGATATAAAATCACTTGCTTCTCCTAATCCTGGGGCAGCAGGGAACAGAAGGCAGCAGCAGCCACAGCTCCTTCTGCCCACAGGTCCTGTCCTTGTGCTTCAATAAAACCACCATTTTGCACCAAAGACCTCTCAAGAATTCCTTCTTGGCCATTGGCTCTGGACCTCACCAACCTCATCAACATTCAAAAACTGCATCAGTTAATAGGGGAAGCTGGGGTGGAGGGAGTGTAAGAGGATATGTGAACTCTTGTACTCTCCATTTATTTTTCTGTAAGCCTGAAACTATTAAAAAAAAAAGTTTTCATTTAAAAAATAAAAAAGCACACACAGAAAAACAGGAAATGCAGTGTGTGTGTACCGGAGGCAGGGTAGTTTAGAGTCTGAGAGAAGAAAGGTTGATGTCAGAACGCTGAGCTTCTTAGGGTGACAAAGCCACAGACTGGGACATTGCCTCTCTCTGTATATCTCATGAATAAATAAAATCTTAAAAACAAAAAACAAAAAACAAAAAAACCCACAACTTTGCTCGAAGGAAAAACCACCTTAGCTTGACAACAGCCAGGCCTCCAGGATCCTGAGACTTTTTTTTTTTTTTTAAAGATTTTTATTTATTTATTCATGAAAGACACACAGAGAGAGAAAGAGAGGCAGAGACACAGGAGGAGGGAGAAGCAGGCTCCATGCAGGGAGCCTGATGCGGGACTCAATCCTGGGACTCCATCCCAGGACTCCAAGATCACACCCTGGGCTGAAGGCAGGTGCTAAACCGCTGAGCCACCCAGGGATCCTCCTGAGTCTTCTTTAGCATAGTAAAGTCCTTTTGGAAACTTCCTTTGTCTCTACCACCCCATTCCAAAGTATAAAATCAACTGCTCCCCACAATCACAGTGCAGCCCTTTCTGCCCATGGGTCCTGTCCCCGTGCTTTAATAAAACCACCTTTTTGAATCAGAGACCTCAAATTCTTTGCCATTGGCTCCAGCCCCAACATTTCCACATCAGTAACCAGTGCAACATTTGTTCTATATTTGACATTTAAATATTCTTTATGAGAATGTGGCTGTTCTTACCAGGAAAAAAGATTTTGACATCTTCAATCCTTTCAGTAAGGTTACATTTATATGAAGGCAAACGTTTCCAAGAGCCATCTTCACTTTTCTTCATGAACTGGTCAAACAGGAGCCTCATGTCCTCATTCCAGCTGGGATTGGGGAGAGAATGGTCCACAGGAAGGACTTCAGAAGAAAATGACTTCTAAAGGAGAGAAGAGAAAAAGAATGGGAAGTAAACCCTATTTCATAACATATTCTCCTATTTTCTGAGACTGTTTTGCTGCTGCTCCTCTTCCCAGAAGTTTGTCACTTCGGAGTGCAAGAAGCAAATTTCAGGAATCAGCCGGTCCAACCTCCTTGAGAGAAGATAGAGAGTAAATGATTTGCTCAGTGTCACCCAACTACCTACTGGCAGAGCAGCATTAAGCCCAAGTCTGTGGATTCCTTTCTCTAAAACAAAACAAAACAAAACAAAACAAGTTAATCAATCCTAGGTGAGCCAGGAGGAACTGGAGATAAACAAATGAAGGACACACATTCTCCTCCATGTAAAAGGGTTTACCAGTGGGGTCTGCAGAGGAGCAGGGGGGAAAGTGTTTATCTCAGATGGGGGATGGTTAGAAGTTCTTGGACTTGAATCTTAATGATGATGTAGGAAAGATGTCAGGGTTTGAAGCCAATGGCCAAGAAAGAATTCTTGAGCCATCTCTAATGCAAAAAGGTGGTTTTACTAAAGCACGGGGACAGGACCCATGGGCAGAGAGAGCCGCAATGGGGTTGTGTGGGGTGGAAATCATATACCTTCAAGTTGGGAGGGGTTAGGGATAGCATGTAAGTCTCTGATGAATTTTGGAAGCAAAGTTTCCAGAACTTTGAGCTGGCTAACTATTGTTGGTGAAAGGTCATTCATTACCGTCTAATAAAACCTTAGTCATGAGACCTTGCAGATGTATATGGTGGATTGTAGGCTTGGGGGATGGATCTTGGGGGGGTAGAAATATAAGTCTTCAACGGAATTTTGAGATGTTACATAAACTTACAGGATCCTGGGGGTCGAGCTAAGATTGCCTGTTGCCCTCAGCAAAGTACTAACATAGAGGCAGCTGAGTTCCTAGAGGTCATTCTGTCTGTTTTGAGGACTTGTCAATGAGCTGTAGAGAGTAAACACATTTAATAATTTTCCTTCTGCCTTTGTTTCCCACATCAGTTACACAAGCAGAAATCAGGCAGCTCGAAAGGGTATCATAGCTAAGGGGAAACCATATGCAAAAGCAAGGAGGCAGGACACAGTTTCGAGGGGCCTTATGACAACCAACTTATGAAACACTTATGAAGTAGGTACTAATTATTACCCTCATTTTACAAATGATGAAACTAAGGCCTAAAAGAAGCTTGGCTTTGGGGTGCCTGGATGGCTCAGTCGGTTAAGCATCTGCCCTCGGCTCAGATCATGATCCCAGGGCCCCAGGACTGAGGCCCTGCATTCATCCATTGGGCTTCCTACTCAGTGGTGAGTCTGCTTCTCTCTTTCTCTTCCCCTCCCCAACTCTCTCAAATAAATAAATCTTAAAAAAAAAAAAAAAGAAGAAAAGAAAAGAAAAGAAAAGAAAAGAAAAGAAAAGAAAAGAAAGAAAAGAAAGAGAGCTTTGTTTCAGTGCAAGGGGAGGAGCAGATGGCTGTAGAGATGCAGACAAGGGCCTGACTCTGAGAAACTTCCATACTAAGCTAGTTGGCCTGGTCTCTAGCTGCAGTTGTTCCCAGAGGGATTTTAATAGGAATATAACAAGATCTAATCTAGCCATCATTAAGAAAGAGAGTGGGAGGAACCAAGACTGAATCTAAGGACTCTGTGTCAAGGATTTTAGAGATAACCCAAGTGAAAAATTAAGACTGCATGAAACAGATAAGGAGTAGGGAGGAGTTAAAATACAAACACCAGCCCCAGGTTTCTGAATTACACAACACAGTGAATGACAGAGCCAATTACCAAGAAAGGGAATGTAAAAAGAAGGCAGAGGTTAGGGGGACAGGTGCTTGGTGTCAAAATAACCATGGCTTCCAACCATGCTATTTCTCTGCAGCACTGAGCAATGCTACTACCATTCCTGTACCCAGGCAGCAAGTGGACCGGTGCAGAGGCTCTGGAAGAGGACAAAGTGTAACTTACTATGGCGTTGGACAAAGCAAATGGCCACAGGCACCAGAAAGGAAAACTATTTTTCTTTTTTAAGCTTCAGTAGAAATCTTGGAATATTTAAGACCACAGAAGCTATCAACTCTATGGCATTGGACTTCCAGTCACCCTGTCAATTCAGATTCAATGTATCTACAACACATGGACCACTCAGAAACAAAAACAGCAAGGCTGTGCAGTGATGGAAGAGCCAGCCAACCAGCCTTCTGCTGACACCTCGGTCGGCTCTGATCTGGCCCGATGGTGAGAACATAGGCAGCCTGTCTCAAAAATTCTACAGATTTCAAAACTCCTCGGCTGGACAGAAGGAAGTATCACCATCACGAGGGGAAACGTGAGCTGGGTTGAGACTACTCCACTCCTGAGCCCAGAATTTGTACCTTTGTTTTTTCCCTATGGTTTTGGATTTGCTCATCTCTTGAGAGCCCAGCTCAGAAAATTTGGGAAAGAAAAGAAAAAAAAATTTTAAGTCCACCCATTATCTATCTTAAGACAATGATAAATGTTGAAGTCTTTCTACTAAATTTCTTAAACATAATCTTTCTCTCATTTATTATTGAGAAGAGAGAGCAAGTGTGCTGGAGGGCAGGGGGGTGGGGGTGGGCGGGGGACAGGTGGGGAGGCAGAGGGAGAGATTATCTCAAGCAGAATTCCTCCTGAGCTGAGCCTGGGGCAGACACAGGGCTCAATCTCACCACCCTAAGATCCTGACTTGAGGTGAAATCGAGAGTTGGATGCTTAATCAACAGAGTCACCAAGGCACCCCTAAACTTAATCTTTCTTAATATACTTATAATTTCAATAAGAAATGTATTTTTTTCTGCCTCACCACTTAAAATTATTTAACGCCCACTTCCTCATGTCCTTAATCTCGATGATCACCATCTTCAACAGCAGAAAAATAGTCCTTTAGACCGATGTACTATAATTTACTTAACCATTTAAGCTCTAATCTTTTGCTGCTCTAAAATGAAGATGTTCATTGAAAAATTATGAATATAGCTTTTTCTCTATTTTGGATCATGTCCTTAGAGTCCAGTCTCAATCATGTAGCTTTTAAAGTACATGAATGCTGGAAATAAACTAAGAGACACAAGTGGTCACAGATAAATGTACACTGAGCAATACATGTCAGTGGAGAGGCAGACTAAAATGTGTAGGATTTGGCTCATCCACAGGTCTCATTTTAACAGGTGACTCTAGGATAGATCAGTTCCAGTCTTTTATGGACCAAAGTGACAGAGATAATTGAAGACTTTTAGGAACTAGAATGACTCACTTGGCTGTGAGTTCTCCTACCTGATTTTAATTTTGAAGTGTGGAATTTAACTAAATTGTGTGAACTTTAAAAAATCTGCTGCCTGGTTCTGTGCCAGGAACTGGTTAAGACAGAGAGAGAAGACTTATGCCCTGCCCTCAACTGCTTGCAGCCTTGGGTGTGAAAAATATCCTAAAAGAAGTACATATAGACACAGAAGGACTGACTGGACATTCAGTGAAAACTTCAAAAAGATGAGGACTGATGCAGTGGTTTCTAAAGGATACAAAGTTCACTTGCTGTGCCAAGCAAAGGCACAGGGAGAGGACACCTTGGGAAAATGCCAGTATTTCAGTCTTCACAGAGGTAAGGTGCAAAGAGAATAGCAGCCAGATATGGATGGCAGAGTAGAAGGGGAACACACCACCACCAAGGCTCTTTGACCTTAACAGAGGGCTTATATTTCATCAGCTAGGTCAATGTTTCCAAAGGCCAAAATGAAAGCTGATTTTAGGTAGCACAAAGACTATGGCACATGTATTTTTAAATGCCTATTATCGAAGGATATAAATAACACATCACACTTAGTATCTCACAAATGTTATTCCTTAGGATGAAGCTCATTAAAGAAAGGTAGTATTTAAAAAACCATGACACTGATACTTTTTTCCACTATAGGGAACCTTATGGAGTTTTAAGCAAAGTTTTAGAAACCTCCCTCTGGTGTAAAGGATGAACTACAAGGTGGGAAGAATGGCAGGGAAAGCAGTTTAAAAATTGTTGTAGTGGGGATCCCTGGGTGGCGCAGCGGTTTAGCGCCTGCCTTTGGCCCAGGGCGCGATCCTGGAGACCCGGGATCGAATCCCACGTTGGGCTCCCGGTGCATGGAGCCTGCCTCTCCCTCTGCCTATGTCTCTGCCTCTCTCTCTCTCTCTCTCTCTCTCTCTCTCTATCATAAAAATAAATAAAAATTAAAAAAAAAATCTTAAAAAAAATAAATAAAATAAAAATTGTTGTAGAGATCCAGAGGATATATGGTTAGAAGCTAAACTAGGTAGAGAGAAATGAAGGGGAAAAAAAGAAGATTTAAGAGACATTTAAGATAATATGACTAATGGATGTGGAGACGGACTGATCATGGGGAAAGAGAAACAGGAGAGCCTTGGATGATTCCAGAATTGTAGCCTTGCAGATTGGGGTGGAAAGAGGAAAGGCGGTTTTTGTTAGTGTTTGCGTGTGTTAGGAGGGGGAAGAGGAGTGGATCTATTAATTTTAGTTAGAGGCATGTTGAGTTTAGGACCACATGAACACTGATGTTGTGGAAAAAAAAATAACGAAAGTTTCAGGTCAAGAGAGTGAGAACTAAAGGATACTTGATGTAAAGGCCTTGTAAATTCCCAGCATAGACCGTGTACTTGAGGGATAAATATTAGGGATTATCATTACCTTTTGTAGCCCTCCGTAGAGAAAAAAGTCTTACTTGACCTTTGGTTATATATCTTTCAAGTGGGACTTGTTAACTAAAGTTATAACTTCTTTTTAATGTGTTTCCTTTTAAGATTAAGTTACTGAACAGGGAAAAAAAAAAGACAAAGTCTGTAAGTACTACTGTTAAATATTCTCAACACAGATTACAAGGCACCAACATATAGTTAAAGGTACAAATGTGGGCAGCCCAGGTGGCTCAGTGGTTTAGTGCCACCTTCGGCCCAGGGTGATCCTGGAGACCCCAGATGGGAGTCCCACATGAGGCTCCCTCTGCATGGGGACTGCTTCTCCATCTGCCTGTGCCTCTGCCTCCCTCTCTGTGTTTCTCATGAATGAATAAATAAAATCTTTAAAAAACAACAAAAAAAAAAAGTACAAATGTCTCTTTGTTGTTGTGAGAGGAGTACAGGACATCTTTTCCAAGGTGAAAGATGGCACAGGACTAATAACTAATCTGCACAGGTTATTCTTTAAAATTAAGGTTCTTGCTCAGAGCTGTTCCCTACCTCTATGTTCCCTTAGTAATTCATCATAGCATATAGTACTTACTAATTTTGCAATTTCATCCTTTTCTCCCAAACTAGATTGTGAGATCCTTGAGAGAAAGGCTTTTCTTACTAATCTTTGTATCATCACAGACAAAAATGTCCTACTTATTGTTGGGGCTTAATTAATAATAATTGAATACTTCAGTACCAGTAAAATTTAGGGGCACCTGGGTGGCTCAGGTCTGGATCCCAGGGTCCTCAGATGACCCCCTACATCCGGCTCCCTGCTCAGTGGGGAATCTGCTTCTCCCTCTGCTGATCCCCCTGCTTGTGCTCTCTGGCTTTCTCTGTCAAGTAAGTAAATAAAATCTCAAAAAAAGAAAAAAAGAAAGAACAGACCCAACTTATTCAGTGCCAACGCCAGACAGTGCGTTACAAGTCACCTCATTTTACTCTTACAACAGCCTTTAAAGTCGAGAAAGCGGCTCTGTGTACGTAGCACGAGGAGGAGGAGCCCCGAGGAAGGGACACTGCGGTCCTCGCGGGCACACACCGCAAGGGCCAGGGCCGGTGATGCCCGGGCCAGGCCCCAATCCGGTCACGTCTGGGCGCGGCCAGGCCACAGCGCGACCCCACCTGGGCTGACCGGAGTTCGGCAGCCCGCGCTCGGCCGCAGACCGGCGTCCCTCCGCGGCCCCGCCCGCCTCTGGACCAGGGCTGACGGCGACCCAGCCGCCACGGACGCGCGGGGACGGGCGCCAGGCGTCAGCGTGCGCTCCGCGAGGCGGGGCGCGGCAAGTCCCCTCCCCGGCCCGGCCCGGCCCGGCCCGGCCCGGCCCGCACTCACCCCTCCCTTCGGGCCGCGGAGGGCCCCGGTCGTGCGCAGGAGTCGCGCGCTGCTCCGGAGCATGGCGGAGAGCGCGCGGGGCTCCGGCGGGAACGGCGGCTAGGCCGGGGCTCGCCCTCTCCTCCCCGGCGCGGCGGGAGCACGTGACCCCGGGGGCGGAGCGGGCGGGCCTGGGGTCTCGTGAGACTTGGTGCGCCAGGTCCGCGGGCTGCGGGAGAGGAGGAGACCGGCCCGCCCCGCGCCGCCGAGCTCTGGTGTTCCCCGGCATCCTTCCCGCTGAAGACTAGGCCGTGGGGCGGGTGGGGGCGCCCGCGAGCAACTGTAGGCGTAGGCCACGGACATTCCCTGGGGCGCGGGGGGCGGTGATTCCTAGAGAGGCTCCCGGCCGCCGAGCGCATTCGGACGCTCAAAGTACTCCTCTTCCTCCTCTTCCGCTGCTCCCCGTCCCTCGCCCCCCTAAAGCCCAGGGCAGAGTCAGGCTCCCCTCCCCCCCAAAAGAAAGAGAACTCGTGGGAACGCTTGAAGGACGCGTGAATCCCTAGCTTTGGTGACAGCCCTGAGCTCAAACTCCGCTCCACACCCCGACACCTGGCCTCCGTGTCTCCCTCTGTTGTGCATACCAAGAGTGCACAGAGGGACCCTCTCTTCGCTGGGAGTCACGAAGTTAGAGGTTAACCGAAGTCGCCTTGCTCGGACTTCCTGCAGGGGCTGCCCCCAGGGGGCACCTCTAAACCTAAGCCTTCCGCTCGGGTCTGGCGAGGTCCTGGGATCCAGCCGCGCCCCTGGGGCTCCCACCTCCTTGGGAGTCTGGTTTTCTCCTCCCCTGGCCCCTCCCCCCTGCTTATGCTTGCTTTCTCTTAAATATGTAACTAAAGTCTTAAAAACAAAAAACAAACAAACAAACAAACAAACAAAAAAAACTGCCCCAGGCCAGTGGTGTGGTGGCGCTTACTCCTATCTGCTCACAAGGGAGCAGACTTGAAAATTCAGAATTGACTAGCCAACCCTTAAGTACTGCCATTATTAAAATTTAAACTACGTCAACTTGGAGGGACACCTGGGAGGCTGAGCAGTTGAGCCTCTGCCCTCGCCTCAGGTCCTGATCCCTACGTCCTGGGATCAAGTCTCGTCTGCCTGAGTGTATCTCTCTGTCTCTCATGAATAAATAAATAAAATCTTCATAAATAAATAATATCAACTTGCAATTAAATAAGTCATATTAAAAATGTAGGTGTTCAGGAGTGCCTGGGCGGCTCAGTTGATGGGGCATTTGCCTTGGGCTCAGGTGGTCATCCTGGAGTCTCAGGATGGAGGAACGCCTCTGGCTCCTTGCTTGGTGGTTAGTGGGCTTCTCCCTCCGTCCCTCCCCTGCTTGCGCGCTCTCTCAAAATCAGTAAAAAAGAAAACAAAAAACAAAGGTGTTTGACACTAAAAGCTGTAACTTCCTAATTACCACATTCTGCCACTACCTGTGCTCTCGGGGTTATTTACCTCTATGCTGTCTATGCGGTAGGGGTGGTAGACATATCTCCCCGACATCAACTTTCTGTTACATCACCCGGCGGCTTGAAATCCGCTGCATGGGAGTATTCATTCATATTGCAAATGAGGGCCTCGTCTCCCTTTTTTATTAAACATTTACCAATATGCCATAGTCCTAGTCCATCCTGAATTGAGATCTTAACACCCTAGGGTTACTAGCGTAATAGGTTATGAAATTGCTTACACCTGGCACATCTTTCATGCTATTTTTCCACCAACCGCCTCTGTCACCACTCATTTGAGGTAAAGGTAGAACTTTGAGGATCATTATCAGGAAAGATTTATCAGAGGTAGTTAAACTTGGCTTTGTGCTTGGTGCTAAGTTCAGAGAGATCCCATCTACTTCTTTTGTGAGCAATCTATGAAGCTAATTTCCAATTATTCCAGCACCCTTTGCCGAAAGGCTCGCTTTTTTCCGTTCAATTGTCTTTGTATCTAAATAAAAAACTGCTTATCCATACATGTTTATGTCCATTGCTGGACTCTGTATTCTGTGCAGTTATCTTTCTTGATGCTAATCCCATACTGTCTTTATTTCTGTGGCTTAATAATTAGTCTTGATCATTTTCAACTTTGTTCTTCTTTTTCAAAGTTGTTATGGCTGTTCTAGATATTTTGACTTTCCATAGGAATTTTGGAATCGGCCTGTCAATATCTACAAAAAAGCCTGCTGGGATTTTGACATCTCAGCAAATAGAGTCTTCTCATGAAAGTTGTATTTTATCAACAAGTCTCCTTATGAACAAGTTTTATCTTCCCAAGTATTTAAATCATATGTAATGTCTTTTAGCAATGTTTTGTAACATAGGTCTTGTTCATCTTTTGCCATATAGACATACCTTGTTTTTTTGTGATTCTCTTTATTGTGCTTTTGCAGATACTGTGTTTTTATGAATTGAAGATTTGTGACAACACTACATGGAGCAAGTCTATTGGTGCCATTTTTCCAACAGTATTTGCTCGTTTCGCGTCTCTGTGTCACATTTTGGTATTTCTTCAATATTTTAAACTTCTCCATTATTATTATATTTGTTATGGTGATCTGTAATCAGTGATTATGCCTGGATGAATGCTCAGATGATGGTTAGCATTGTTTAGCAACACAGTATTTTTAAGTTATATACATTGCTTTTTTTCTTTTTAAGTTTTACTTATTTATTCAAGACAGAGAGACAGCATAAACAGAGAAGAGAGTCAGAGGAAAGGGAGAAGCAGATTCTGTGCTGAGCAGGGAGCCCAACACAGGGCTCAATCACAGGACCCTAGGATCAAGACCTGAGCCAAAGGCAGACACCACCTAACTGACTGTACCACCCAGGTACCCTGATACATTGCTTTTTTAGACATAATGTTCTGGCACGTTAAATAGACTACAATGTATGTAAACATAACTTTTACATGAATTGGGAAACCAAAAAATTGTTTTGACTTGCTTTATTGTGATATTCACTTTATTGTGATATTTACTTTATAGTGGTGGTCTGGAACCCAACCTGCAATATCCTAAGGTATGCCCGTATTTATCTTTAAGTATTTCATATGTATGATGCTATTGTAAATATTATTTTTTATTTCAATCTTGACTGTTCACTGCTAGTATGTGGAAATACAGTTACTTTTTAGGGGTGCCTGTGTGGCTCAGTGGATTGAGCATCCAACTCAATTTCAAGTGATGATCTCAGAGTCTTGGGATAGGACCCTGCATAGGGCTCTGCACTCAGTGGAGAGTCTTCTCTCTTTCCCTGTCCCTTTGCCCCTCCCCCTACTCTTACTCTCTCTCTCTAAAATAAATAAATCTTAAAAAAAAAAAGAAATACAGTTCTTTTTGTATATTAATCTTATATCTGTAGACTTGCTAAATTCATTGGTTAGTTCTCTAGTAATTTCTTAATAGATTACATTTTCTATGTAAATGATCATATTATCTGTGAATACTTTCACTTCTTTCTTTACTATCTGGACAGCTTTTGTTTCTTTTTTTTGCCTTATTGCACTGTCTAGAATCTTCAGTACAATGTTGAATAGTAGTGATGAAAGTGGACATTCTTATCTTATTGCTGATCTTAGGGGGAAAGTATTTAGTCTTTCACCATCAAGTATGATCTTAGCAGGAGGGTTTTTGTAGATGCTCTTTAGCAGGTGGAGAAGTCCCTCCCATTCATCATTTACTAAGAGTTTCTGTTAATGGGTGTTGGATTTAATCAAATGTTTTTTTCTACCTATTGAGATGATCAGATGGTTTTTAAAAAATTTTCTTTCATATCAGGGTGCCTGGGTGGTACAGTTGGTTGACCCTCCAACTTTTGGTTCCAGCTTGGGTAGTGATCTTGGGGTCATCGGATTGAGACCCACTTTGGTGTCTGCTTTCAGTGCAGAGTCTGCTTGAGTTTCTTTCTCCCTCTCCCTCTGCCCCTAATGTGTGCTCTCTCTGTCAAATAAATAAATCTTTAAAAAATTAAATAAAATTTGTTTCATATCATGAATTAAACTGATTGTTTTCCTTTGTCCCCTGACCATGTGTTTCTAATGATCTCTACATGTGAATCTATTCTTCACAGCAGAGATTACATACAGTGCTAAACACATGATTTATCGAGGAAGAGCTATAGCATTTCAAGACAGAATGTGTGGAGGAGACCAGTGCCAGGTATCTTTATGTTTGCTAAAATAAAATTTAGAGAGGTAACTGAGACTTGTGCTCAAAAGAGAAATTATATATAAATAATTCAGATCAAATTAGGACTCAGTTGTTGATAAACAAAATCCGTATAAGTATATGTGGTTTCAAATAAAGAAATATAACAGATAAAATAAAAAAAACATTTATGTGCATATGTGTAAACTGAAATGTAGTATAGGCATGTATATGTCATATGAATATATATATGCATATATATATTCTCTCTTTCACTCTGTCTAAAATAAATAAATAGGAGCACCAGGATGACTCAGTCAGTTAAGCATCTGCCTTTGGCTCAGGTCATGATCCTGGAATCCCAGGATCAAGCCCCTGCTCCACGGGAAGCCTGCTTCTCCCTCTCCCTCTGCCACTCCCCCTGCAGGTGCTCTCTCTCTCTCTCTCTCTCTCTCTCTCTGTCAGATGAATTAATAAAGTCTAAAAAATAAATTAATTAAATTAATTTTTTTTAAAGTGTGAGTATGGATTCCAGAGTCAAACATCTGGACCTGAACCCTGTCTCTGACACAAAATGTGTGGTCCTGGGTAAGTTATTTAACTACTGTGCCTCAATTTCCTAATTTGTGTAAATGAGATTAAAACAGTACCTACCTCCTAGAGTTGCGGGAAGGAATAAATGAGATAATACAAGTCCTGGAAACAAAGCAAATGCCTAATAAATATTAGCTATTATTGTGTATTACAAAATACATGTAAGATTTAATTCATGAGTACTGCAGGCAATTAATATCAATGTGATATTGCCTTTGGGGGATGCTTCTATTCCCCACGCCTTTTCAGCACTCCTGGGAGTACCTAAAATATGCAACAGATGTGTTCTGCTTAATCATTTCCTGCCATTCTTATTACAAACTCCTCCAGGAAAGCATCTTACATTAGCAAGTAACAGACATTAAATGCATAGGTGACATTTGAGAATTGAGACTTTATACCTTCCCCACATGCAGCCT